TTCCGTTCGCGTGCTCGTTAATTAGCTTCTCTCCGCTCCCGACGTGTTAATTTTCTACTCGCAATCAGTAAATTTACAAATGTATTCTGGTACCTGTCAAGCCGGACGAGGAGGAAAACAAGCGGGAGAGAACGAACAGAGAGAGGGGAAAGGAAGAACGTTACGAGCGGCCTTCCGCCGGAAGGGGACTCACACACCACGGAGTTTCTAGTTCCTGTCACTCCGGACGGGAATATAATTCGCGGCGCGGTGCTTCGAAAAATCTCTTTCGCGTTTCCTTCGTGTAATAATTATCGTGGAACGTCGAACCGACGAGTAACGGCGACGGGAAGTCGCCTTTAAATTCACAATGTCGTTCCGCTAATTATGCCCGGCGTAACAATTCCGAACCGACGATCGCGATATTCATTTGAACCTAACTTAACAAGGAGAGAGAACGAATTCGAAAATCGAGAGCATTTAAGCAGAGAATTAATGCTGGGACTCACAGGTTTCGCGTCACGTCCGATATATCGCTCAAAGGTTAATTACGAACATCCGTTTGACGATATGAGAACAACAGTTTTAAAGATAGACCATCTTAATATTGTTCTTTTTAAACATGTTTTCACCTGATCGAATCGGAAGACAGGTACGTGAAATGGGTTTTATTGGGAGTTCGATAGAGGAAGATAGCGTGTTGTTGAACCTGCGACGATAAAAGGGCCGCGAGTCTCCGGAGACTCCCTTTACCTAGGCAGCCTCTTTTTCACCGGCTTCTCGTCTTGCGCTGTTCGAGTTTCCAGCTGTCGTGACACGACTTCGTAAAAGGGAGCGTGCTTTAACGAGACACGATCGATCTACCCGAACCTCCTATCGCTCTATTCAGCCGTGTAGAAACAAGTACAGATACCTTAAACCCGTAGAAAACAAAAAGGAGAAAAAAACTGAATACGATAAATTAAGGAAGGTAAGAGGAACGGTAGAAAAGCAAATTCTAATTCTAAGTTGAATAGAAAACGTCGCAAGTCGGATCTCACTATGGCGAACAAATTTATGTCGGCCCGTAAGTCTGCTCTCTGTCTTCGTTAATTATCTACCAAGTGAGAATTATTTAATTTCGCTTCTCAGTTCGCGACTCGAATGCAAACGGTTGAGCTCGAGATGAAGTCGAATACAATAAAGATAACACGAGACTACACAACTTTTCTCTCGAATATAAATTCCAATTACAACTTCTTATCGATTCTGAAATGTGTAACGATTAAACGAAGAGCCGTTCGTCCTCACACCGCCGTGTATCGTGGTTGGTTTCAACACAGCCAGTTTTTGCACCGCGTCCAATCGAACACGGAGCATCGCAGATGATATCGACGAATTGAATAGGAGCGGAAAAGTCTCGCGGCGGGCAAGAACACCGGCGCGGTGCCGAGCGGCGCGGCGAGGCGGGCGAACACGGAGGAAAGGGGAACAAGACGAAGAAAAGGAATGGCGGAACGGCAAGAAAACGGCAGGCTAAAAGAATCCGCCGGATTTCCGCTCGACGTTAAAGCGCCTATCGAGGCCGTTGCGCAACGCGCGTATACGCCCGATAACGATGGAAGCCGTGGAAATGCCTCCGACCACCTTCCTATCTATCGCCAACGATCGTATTTTCGTTCCATTTCTACGTTTCCTGCGTATTCGTTCATTCGTCATTTTCACCGAGTTCCTTTCTTTCTGTTTCTCTTTCGGGGCAAAATTCTACTTAACTTAACGACTTTTTAATTACCCGACGATTCGAACTGGACAGGAAACGCGGCGAACATTGAGACATTGCGCGATAACGAATTCCGCATGCGGTGTACAGTTACGGAACGTGAATAATTGTATCTCTTGTTTTTTCTTCTTCTGCTTGTTCGATCTGTCGATGCGAAGCGTTCGAAATAGAACGTCAGGCTTCGATTATTATTCTTCGCTTTGATTCGTCGACGAGGTAGAAGAGAGAGAGAAACACTTAAGAGGAATTTAGAAGCACTTGACGATCAGTACAACGAGCGTGAAACGAGCGAAATTCGCACGACGCTTGCGGAATCACGTAGAAGGCGTGTCTTGTGCCTTTTTCTGCGTGTCGAGCTCTCCGCGTCTCTCTTCCTTTCACGACACACACGTGGCCGTGGTAGAGGTATCTTCTCGTTCGCGAATACAGATCCGTTCGTCGTTCAGACTTGGAGACCTGACCTAAGCCAACAAACCCGACTTTCGTGATATTCGACATCCGGTCTGGATCATCGTTTGCCGATAAAAAGTACCGCGACAACCGATCATCCCTTCCTCCACGAGTACTATTCATTCGTGAGCGTACGCTATCGTGCATTCGTTATAATCTTCTGTCGTCCCCGTGTTACGTAACAGGAGGCGCGTATATATGTATATATCGACGGTTGAAATCAATTAACACCGTGCTTCTCCGCCTCTAAGCAAACCGACTATGTAGGTCGATCCATCTTAAATATACGAGGTTTCATAGATACGCAAGATTTTTCTCTGCTCGAGTGTGCGCGATATCGTTCCGATCGTGCTTTCGAGATTTTTTGCAAACAGACCTAACTCTCGAACACCCGTGTACATCTACAAGAAAAAGTACGAAGGCTGCGGTATATAGTGTAATTCATTCTGTAAAGAATGAAGTTACGTCCGACGATACGCAACTTTGTTACTAAGAAAAAGTAGTTTTGAAGCGAAAGAGCACTTGGTGAACTTCAATTCTCGTTATTCAAAGTAGGATCTGCTGAGTGGCCGACAAATGTTCTCTCGCTCTCTTCGAAGAAAGCGGGAAAGAGGGAGGTAGAATGAAAGAGAGAAAGAGGAGAGGGGGAGAGACCGGTAACAGTTGTAAGGCGTCGATAAAAATAGCGTGGTCGTCGGACACTTTCTACCGGAGGAATTTCAGTTGAATTTAAAGAAAGGCCAAAATGCAGCGAGGAGAAGCAGGGTAGGGCCGAAAGAAGTTGTATGTATATAGGTACGGTGCGGAGGACGCGTGGGCCAGCAACGTGGTCGGAGCTGCTTTCTACGCGCGGGCGAGAAATGATCGTTACACACGCAGCCGGACACCACACCAGGGGCGTCGGGGGGAATACCGTGTACAAACGCGGTTGATACCAATTTTACGCGTTACTATCACCCACATGTACGCTTCGATATTATTGAATCGGATAATTTATATCCCGCGATTTGCATTCGAAACGTAAACCGACCGGACCCAAAAGGATCTGCGACCATTACGCTTCGTCGCCTGTCGTCTCTCTCTCCCTCTTCGATTCGATCGTTGCAGTGAATTAAACGCGGTTATTTAACGCTGTCACTTGTACCGGGATAACGTATCGATACTCGCCATCGTCCCAGAGATATTGGAAAACTACGAAGTCTGTCAGTGTTGGTAGAATTGCTAACAGATCGGTTCAATCATTTTCTATTATATCATTCACTTTTGCCTAACCTTATCTATTTATGTATGTATTCATTCTCGATAGATATCGAGAATCACTTAGGTATAACTGCGAGACTACGTTAACGATCGATAATGGAAAATTATCAAAGGCGTATTCAGATTAATCTCTCTCTCTCTCTCGGGAGAATTAGGAGAGAAGGGAAAAGGGGTAAGAAAGAGCGGAGAGAGTAGAACTGGCGTTACAATGGACCGGCGTGCAACTTTGACGAAATAATTGAATGTTGTTGAGTCAATTGAATGTACGTTAAACGAGCGTCGGGGAACACTTATGTAGAAATAAATCAAGCCGGTTCCCACGCACGAAAATCTGAAACGATGTTGCGCAAAAGAAACGCGGACTATTCGGAGGCGAACCGTTTGCCTAGTAAATCATTTCGGTCCCCGGCACTCTGCGTGGGTGTACCCCGCGAGAATATACTTTGGAATTTTTGTTTACGGGAATTTGCAGGCTGCTAATGGCATCGCGACGCCTACGAATTCGAGGCTAGGCAACCTGTAGCGTTCGCGTGCTACCGCGTAAGGCGAGGCTGCAAAGAACAGCTGCCCACCAGTTTACTCCTACGATACAGAGAGAGAGAAAAGGAAGCCAAGCAACCGATGGGACCGCCTCGATAATCCCTTCGAATTTTCCAAACTACCGCACACTCGCGCCTCAACCTCCTTCACACACCTATCGTCTCGTAAATCGAAATTGTTCAGAGCAGGCTGACAGCACTGGGTCAACTGGACCACTCCGATACCATCGATCTACGAGATCTTCCACCAAAGTGTCGAAACAGGGTTTCAAACTTCTCCCTTCCTCTTGTGCGGTACAAATAATTCACTCTACTTCGTCTCTACTTTGGACAGTGAAACTATCACTCGTCACACATCGATGCGTCGAAATTTCAGCGGTTCCTATTAAATTCTGAAGTCTGAAAAGAGCCACTCTGCTCCGTTATCGTACCACAGAACCATGATTGACAGGAGATTATACAGAGAAAAGAAACATTAACGGAATCTATCCTCTATCCTCTCTGCAGCCGGCAGGCAACAAGGTAGCAAGGAGAAACGAACGAGATGAAATTTTCCGGTGAAAAAAAGAAAAGAATCGAAAGAGAAAGAAACGGGAGTAAAGGAGGCATGCGTTGGGTGGTTGGATCGAGTCGAGATCGATCGAGCAACTGGATCGTGGCGCGTATTTCCCTCGAACGAGTTCACCTACGCGACGACAAATCGCGCGAGAACGAGCGTGCACCTCGGTCTTGTAGAGCCCCTTAAGGATTCGACTCGAATTCGCACCGGTAATCGTATTCAAAGGCGACGAGGGAAAAGAGACACGCGGCTACCGTGACGGGACTCTGGAATTAATTCTCGACCAGACTTTTTCACAATGCAATTATGCTCGCGCTACAGAACTTCCCCTCGATTTGTATGCCTCATATAACCCGCCACGATACGACGTAGAGCCATTTCTGATAACGTACAGCGCAACAGGGACTAGAGTAACGAGGAAGAAATAAAAAGAAGGGGAGAATCGAATACTCACGTCTTTGCTGGGCACGCAAACCGGCGTTCCCTCTTTCACGATACCAGCCTCGACCATCACGCCCATCACGATCGGATCTCGAGAGTTGAAGATGTACTGCAACAGAGAAGAACTATTTTTTTTTCTTTCTTTCGATAGCGATCAAGACTATCGCTTTTTTCAAGCGTTTCCAAGACTCTCCTCTAATTTCGCGTCTTTATTCAACCCTTTGCCTTGTATCGGTGAGAAAAATTCATTTTAATTCCAACTTTCTGTTTAATCTGAATATTACCAAATGTAACCGATCTACGATACGTTAATTTTTCTTAATTAACACTTTAAATGCCTCGAGGGTGATTATGCACATTGGGATGTGTTGCATTTAAATAAAAATCTCGGCGCCATGGACAAGTTGCGTAGAATTGGTCCCATATTCGACAAATCAAGGAGTTAAGCACGAATAGGTCGAAGAATTCACCTGGGGTAGGATACGAAGTTTGCAAGGGAAGACGGCGATATGCTTATTCTCGTCCCGTTTCCGCTGCTTCAGCTCCTCCCTGTACGCGGTGAACTTGTCGAAGAGATGGTAAATAATGTCCGCCTGGAAGATCTTAACTCCGAGAGAATCAGCCAATTCCTGAGCGTCTCTTTCGATCTTCACGTCGAACGCGAGTATCGTTGAGTATCTATGAACGAATCGAGTCGTGGGTCAAGAGTACGATCTGTATGCTACGATAAAACTGTTTCTCTATAAGCGAAGATATACTCACTGACTGTCGTGCTCCAACATAATGGAAGCCTTCATAACGTCTTTCTTCACAACAGGACCGATACGAATTCCAGCGTACTGTAACAAATGAAACGAAAAGACACGCGTTTTTAATAAAAAAAAAAGAGATGAAATTAAAACACGAAAGTGTCTCCTCTATGTGTTCGAAAACGGGAACTTTCGCGCAACGGAGTTCCGTACTTGGAAGGAAAACAAAATATTAAGGTAAAGTATAAACCGCTGTCACCGTAACATAAATACAGTGGCACGCTATGCATGTAAGAGTGCGTCTGTTTGGCCGCAAAAATAACTAGTGACGCATGCTGTCCGGATTCGGCTGGCCGGTGTGACGAGGCGCGACACGTAGAAATAAACGCGCCGATGCACCTACAAACAAGCTGTTCCGCGGTCTCGCGATTCGATTGTCGCTCGATCATTTAACTACGGTGAGCTCTAAAAAAAAAAAAAAACTATTACAGATGTAACCCTCTGTAGATAATGCAGGTCTTTGAAGACCCAAGTGAAATTTCACTTTTGTATTCCATCGAATAGATTTCAGCCACGCTAGATTTCATTATTCTAAGCGTAGTATTATGTTATGCTTTTGTTTTTTTTTACTTCAAAATAATAAGTAGCTATGACGTTCGAAATTTTTTCGTTTTATTTTAATTATCCTAAACATTCCAGGCCCTCCGGTCACCGGCGACCGAGGAAACAATCTCCGGTCACAGGTGACCTACGTGGCGAGCCAGGTGAGTCAACGTGTTAACGAACAATTGTGTATAATGCAGTGGAGACTTTGATAAGTACTCCAGAATTTTTTCAGATCCTTCGAAAGCTTGAGACGATAAAAGAAATTAGACTTGGACGCAAACGACCCGGTAATATAAATATTTTACACAGAATCTTCTATTTTACGTGAACGATGAATGGTTTTATTTGTGGTAGGGGCGCAATATGCTCGAAACGAGAAAAGCGTTGATGCTAACCATGAATGCGATACTCAAGGATTCCGTTCCCATTAAGTTGGCTGAAGTTTCGAACGATAATGTACGACTAATTGCTGGTGGATAAAGTGGCCGCGGAACAGTAGCTACATTTAACGAGATAATTTTCGAGTTGAGACAAGCGACGGGTCCGATAATCATTCATCGAAGGCAGATGGAAAGGGGGGCAGCGAGAAAGAGAGAGAAACAGGACGAGTAGAAGATGATACGTTGCCGGGAATTTTTTTTCAAGATAACGCGGCTTTTTAAGACTTCCGGTGCGTCGTCGCATTCCGATATTGGGACGAGATACCGCCGGCTTTTTACGTGGACCACCATAATAAATGTCTGGCATTCCAGCGAACGTGCGTCACTGCTTTTACTCTTATTATCGGTAAACAAAAACAAAAAGGAAATTAACATAGTTGTATAGCTTAGCTCCTTTCAGTTTCAACAATCACCTTCCTTTTTTTTAAACTTGATTCACAAAAAATTGGCAATTGTTTATTAAAAACTCCATTATTCTTTACATTGTCAAGATTTTTCCGGAAAATCGAAAAGGTGATGGAAAATGATAGAAGCTATTCGATAAAAATGTCTCGGTTCGAGTTACGTTGACGATAAATCTGACCAAAAACCGACGAATCGATTGTTTGTACGTTTTAACAGAGCAGAGCGGGAATCTTTATGAATGACCCTTTAAGCTCGACACAGGCAGCGGCGCAAAACTTGCTGAAATCCATGACCTTTGCGTATGAATGAACCGGCGGCGATGAACGGGAGGAAAAAGGAAAGAAAAACGCGGGCCAATTAGAAGGCACTACCGCTCGATAAACGAGCCTACTCACCGAAACACCGAGAGCTAGTCATGTTTCATTGACGAACGGTGAATCGTGATACCATCCGCTGGAATATGGTAAAAGAAAAAAAAGAAGGCGTAGCGTGGGAGGTGTTGGTCAACGAGAACGAGAGGGCACCGGCAGTGGGGAATGCAATTAACGCGTGTCCAAATATCAACGTCTCCGTAAAGAAAGAGCGATCTAAAAATAACGCGTGTGAAAAAAATGCACGCGTAATACAGAGAAATTGGAATTACTTAAAAGGAAAGGGGGGTGTACACACTTTCTACGAATCGCGTGGTAACAACGAAATACTCGTTGTTTTAAATAATTCCTCGAAATCAAGAATTCTCTTCCCCTTTTTCTCCAGATCGTTTGTTTGCCAAATTCGAGAAATAAAATACACCGGGGGCGAAAAACCATTCAAACAGAAGATGATCAATGAGAAACGAACGTTTCCTGTCCACGGGTAGGAGAGAGCTCCGGCGTTTATCGTACAATTGGAATCCCCATTGAAAGCAAACACGCTGGAATTTCTCAACGGGCCAGTTAATCGACACGCAGCAGCAGCATTTCCTCGATGGAAATGTTCAATGGGCATCGGGAGGAGGTAGAAATACGAGCGAACATTGAACTCGCGTGGAATTCGCGAAACGATTTGGCAATAGGCTCGTTCGAGCGGAACAGATGCTATCGAGAAAAGAGGGGCGAAGGGGAAAAATAGAAAAGAAGAAGAAGAGAGAGAGAAAAAGAGGGCAGGCGAATAATAAAAGGGAAAA